AATCAAAATTAGAGTTTACTTTCTAAAAAAAATATTTTAGTATTTTAATATTCTAGTATTTTTTTTATAATATTAGTATTTATCAATATAACCCTCCAAAAATTAGGAGGAAAATACCCTAAAATTACATTATTTTACTAAAATCAAAGCACTCTTCTTCCTACTTTAAGAATATATTGTTTTTATCTTTTTTAAAACGAGTTTATTAAAATAATGTAATTTGGTAGTGTTCCTTTTTTTTTTATAGAGATTTTATTAACAAATACATTTTCTTTTTTTTCTTCATTCTTCAATTGATCATTATATGATTATAATATTTTGTTTTTATTATAATATATATATTTATCTCTAATTTTTGTTAAAAATATATCAATATCACAAGTGAATGTTTTTATAAGAAAAAGAAGATTTAAAAGAAAATGAATTAATACCATAGAAGATACTCTTGAAATCTCAAATCTTTAATACTAATTTTTGCATCCCCTAACTGAATTTTTTGGCTCTGTCCATTCATGGGCCATGTTAAGCAAGTGTCTTATAGGTTAGGTTTAAGGTTTAATTCTTGAGGACAGCACTTAAGGAAAATCAGTTTCTTTAAACGCATCAAACCTTATATATGTTGCATCTCTCAATTTTAATTTAATAAATATTCTACATGTAAATATTATGTAATTAGTAAATGTTAATTTCATTTGTTATGACATGTAACTATTGTAATAAGAAAAAAAAATATATTTTTTGAATTTTTTAAAGATATAATGTAATTAGTAAACAAGATAATTTAATTTCTTTTTTTTTTTTTGTCATGGTCCTATATTTCAGACTGAGAGTGGTACGGAATATCAATAAATTAATTGTCAAATAACTACCTATATTTTTGCTTTTTTCAAATGAGTATTTTCAGACCAAAAAGTGGTTTGTATAACTTTTTTGAAAAAACGGTAACACAGCTACCAAATTTCTCTTTTTTTTTTTTTTTCTTTTTTTGTTTTTGCAAATGAGGACAAATATTTTCAGGCGAAGAACAATCTAGAAATATCAAGACAAACACCATGGTTTTCAGTCTAAAATTATTTTCAAAAGATCAAGACAAACACCATAGTTTCAATCTTTGTGGTTTAGGCCACTAAATTTCAAATTGTTACCGATTTGGAAATTTTGTTTATGTTTTAATTTATTTTGTTATTCAAACTAGGTACAATTTGTAAATGGTCATTTCTCATGTTCTTTTACTATTATCTAGACTAAAGTCGGTTTAAAAACTTGTTATTTAGATCAAAGTTATTCTGAAAATAAATTATCTAGATTGCTTACAGCCTGGCTTAAGCAAGTTTTTGGTCAAGAGTTGGTCTTTTTGAAGATTTATGCAGACCAATTTTGGTTTGAAAATAAATGTGATTCAGACCGATTTTTAGTTGGTTTGAAATTAAAATTATTTTGACTAGGTTTTTCGGGCTAGTTATCCAAATCATTTTCTATCTAAATAATATTTTTGTTCAGACCAATTTTCAAATTTTCCAAACCAATTTATTGGTCTGGAATTGTACTATTTTCGATAGTGGGCTAGACCAAAGAATTTTAAGATATAACTCAACTTTCTTAATTTTTTTGCATTGAAAGCTAGGTGGACATAGAAACAGAATTATTATTTTTTTAAAATTAAATCTATTTTTGAGATAAAGAATTATAGAAAAATAGTATTGGATCTCTTATTTCTTAATAGAAAACTCTTGAATCTACTAAACTTAACATGCTAGCTGCATACTAGTTTGTAGTCTAAGTTAGGTTTCAAAAATTAATCCCCCTCAAAATCTTGTATCAGAGCCTATGAAATTACTAATACATCTAAAAGATGAAATTTATAATTATGAAATAGAGTTGTATTGGCTCTGAAGATTCATGTCTACTTTCACAATAAACATGATAATATAAGAAACCCTGAGAGATGGAAGAGATTAAATCAAGACCTTTTTATTTCAACAAGATTTGATAAAAATGGTGCAAAAAAGAATTAGCATGCCTAGCAGCTTAAGGATCTAAAATGTAAAGTATTAAAAGAACCTTGTAACAAAATAAAGAACCAGAACTAAAATGTCAAGTCAACGAAAGATAGAAGTCAACAATAACAACAGAGTGGCTAATTTGCTAGCTAGCTCAAAGTGTGAGGGGCGATTTGCCTAAAAAAGAGGGCTGATATGCCACAAGTCTTTAAGTAAAAGAGCTATCCAAGTTCTTCTTCATCACAGACCAACCAAACCGCTCGAACATACGGAAATGAGAAACCAATAACAATATGACAACCGAGCCATGCCCAAAATGAGTATTTTGCTTCGGATGGATCTCAAGGGCCATCATGAAAGGTCAGTTCAAGAACAAGATACAAAAGTTTTACGTGGAAAGCACACACCAAGCAATTGACATGGACCGCGGGTTGAATAGCGTGCTTGCAACCATTGAGTCACCTCCAGACCACATTGAAAATGACAAGTTAACTAATAAAGTCCATTCTGCAGCAACCCATGTGATTCTTTTTTCATTATGGAGGCACAAAAGCATGACCTAGAAAAAACTTTAAAATTTTATTGTAGGAAAACAATAAAATTAACTTTTTAAAAAAATATTAAGTAAATTTTAAGAAAGTTATATATCTAAATTTTTTTCAAACTTACATAAAATTATCTTAAATGACAATTTTAAATTTTTTAATAAAATTTGAAATTTATAAGTCATAAATGATACTTTTAAAATAATAATTTTTTAATTTTAACCCAACACCATCTTATTTCCAGCTTTTTATTAAATAATTATTTTGCGGGTCACTAAGGATGTATTCCAATGTCTGTATACCCCAAATCATTTTGACTTTTGTTCCGCACTCCTAAGTGTTGTTAGCCACTTGGTTTTTAGTGAGAACATTACTTCGAGTTTGATGTTTAATTTTTTTATTTTATAGTGTTTCTCCCATTTTTCATAACATACTATATTTGTACCCTAGAATTGTTCCTCTTAATTTGTGCCTTTAATACATAAATTAAGAATTTATTAATTATATTTTTTAAATTAATTTATATAAAAAATAAGAAGTTAACTTTATTTTTAAGACTTAAGATATAATTTAAGAGTGTAATTAATATATTTTTTAACATTAATTGATATTAAAAACGACAAAAATTGACATTAATTTTATTATTAAAATGCTACGTGAAATATTTTAATTATATAATTAATTAAATGAATATTAATTTTTATCTTTTTAGTAAAATTTAATATTAAAAAGGTATTTTTAACTTATATTCCAATGACACATGTTAAAAAACCCTTTTTATTAATTATCTAAATAAAAGCGAGTTTATAAGCAGTTAAGGATGGAGACTACTAGGGTTCGAGAGAGGGATGCGGCCGCTAGGGCAGATAGCAGCTTCCAACGGCGGCAAGGTTCCAGGTGACGGATTCCAGGTTTTAGTACTCAGTTATCAAGGCAGGTTCAGACATTTTTCTTCTACAATTTCCCCGAGACGGTGATAGCAAAGAGTTTCTGGTTTTGTTTTCAACGATATGGCAAGGTAGTGGATGTTTTTCTGCCGAACAAGAGGGACAAGTGGGGGAACAGATTTGGTTTTGTTCGAATGGTAGGAGTGCAAAATGAGGAACAGATGGTGAAAAAGCTGAATGAGATTTGGTTTGGGCAATATAAGTTGAGGGTGAAGAGGGCTGACCACGGAAGCGGCTTCCCGAGAAGACGAAGGTATCAGGTGCAGAAACTGTGATGCGAAAAACGAATAGATTGGTGCAACCAGGCCACTCTTATGCACAGGCAGTTGTGGGGAAGAGTAAGTGGGTTGAAAAGCAACAACCACAAGGTATGATAGCAACGAAGAAGGTATCAGTTAAGCGACATGAGGGTCGGGATATAGAGCAGAGGGTACTGGGTGCCGAGAATGAGGGAGAGGGATCGGGTGAAAAGGAAAAGGTACAAGAAAAGAGTATGGGTGTAGATAAAGAGTGTATTATTGCGTTTGAGCCTACAAAGGAAGAGAATCAATGGCTAGAAGGGGGCATGGTCGCTGTTTTGATCTCTTTAATGTCAGTGACAGGTATTCAAGAGAGAATGGATGTGGATGGAGGGCTGCTTGCATTATTTCCATTAGGGGGAAGTTTCGTGCTGCTTCTTGAAAAGGTGAAGGGCTACCTTGGTGAGTATATGGTGCAGAACAGAGAATTATTCGATACATGGTTTGAATCTATATTACCATGGGCATTAGTACTGGCACGAAGTAGTCGATTGGTGTGGCTGCGGATATCTAGTATTCCGTTGAATGCATGGACTGATAGATGTTTTGAAATGATAGGAAGAACATTCGGGGAGGTGGTGAAGGTGCATGAAGATACCAAATCCAAAGCTGTTTTGTGTGAAAGAAGGGTACTGGTTCTTTGTTCTAATACACATAGTATTTCAAATGTGTTGAAATTGAAGGTTGCTGGATAGCTACATGAGATACAAGTAATGGAGGAGGGATGGAGATCAGACCCAGATTGGTGGCTATCGGAGGGTGACCGACGGAGTACGACGGGGGCATTATTGGAATATTCCTCCACGCATATTGATAGTGAGGATCAAAGATTTATTGATGACGAGATTCTCGGCGAAGATGAAGATAACATTGAATTGGAGCTGTTACAGGAGAATGGAATTTTGAATTCAAAAAGCAAGCAGATTGATGGTGAGTCGCTAACAGGTGGAGATGGGGGTTATGACCATTGTAATGAAAATGGGTTGAGGAGTGCTAACGGGCGGCTAAAGGATTATAGGGGGTTGAATGATAATGAGCTTGTGGAAGTTAATGGGCCAAGAGAAGATGATGTAGAAAGTTCATTTAATAAGATGTCCAAGGACTCAAAGCAAAAGGGGCATCATGTGATAAGGAGAGAAAGGCAGCAGACTTGTCGGGAAAAAGACATAGAAAAGTGGCAGAGTGTTACCCAGAAGAAATTGCAGAAATCTAGAATGAGAAAGCAGAGTGGGTGACGGGACGGACAAAGCAGCGAAGACTGAGGCGCGAGAAAGCTAAGTCGGTGCCAGTGGGTTCGAGTAAGCCGGAGCAACAGGGGGAAGGAGAATCTCTTTCGAATGGTTGTATTGCTCATCAGAATCAAGTTATTCAATGGGAGATTAATATGCAAGAGGTAAAGCAAATGATGTCCACTGGAAGAAGGCTTGGAATGTAGTTCGAAGGTACCAAAAAGGAGGTAGAGTCCCAGCTGTTGGAGTTGGAAGAGAGAGATGAAAGCAGGAGACAAAAAGGGTAAGGTTTTTGGGTAGATGTGAGGTAGTGTGGGTGAGGGTCTGCATTTTTGTTTATGAAGGTTTTATCTTTTAATGTTAGGGGTTTGGGGAGTATGGCGAAGAGGAGGGAGTTGGGAAAGCTAGTACGGGTAGAAAAACCAAATTTGCTATTCCTACAGGAGACTAAATTAGAAGGGGTTGAAGAGGGTTTGTGTAAAAAGCTATGGTACTCAGATGATTTTGATTGGAATATGAAAAGTTCGGTTGGTGCTTCAGGAGGCTTGATCTGTGTGTGGGATAAATCATCATTTGTTAAGTTGGGGGAATTTACAGGAGACGGGTATCTGGGGATAAAGGGGCAGTGGGGGGTAAAAAAGGAGGTATGCTTTTTTGTGAATATTTATGCACCGAATGAAAGGAAGAAAAAAGCTGTATTATGGGATGAGTTGAGGCAGAGGATTGTCGAGGAGGGTGGTTGGTGGATGCTTGCAGGGGATTTCAATGCTGTTAGGTGTATGGACAAAAGAAGGGGAAAAATAGGGGAGAGTGTCGATATGAAGGATTTTGATCTTTTTATAGAGACGGCAGGGCTAGTTGATAGCAAGTTGATAAATCTTTTTATAGAGACGGCAGGGCTAGTTGATAGCAAGTTGATAAATCTTTTTATAGAGACGGCAGGGCTAGTTGATAGCAAGTTGATAAATCGAAAGTTTACATGGTACAGACCAGATGGCACAGCAATGAGCAGATTAGACAAGATATTGATGACTGTGGAAATGAGCAGTATGGGTGGTGAATGGGTGCAACAAGGACTGAAAAGAAATATATCGGACCACTGTTCGATTGTTTTGAAAACAAGGACAGCAGATTAGGGACCCAAACCGTTTCGAGTACTGGATGCATGGCAACATCATCCGGAATTTAGAAAAGTTGTTGAAGACAAATGGAATGAACTGGCTGTGGATGGATTTGCAGGTTACAAATGTCTTCAGAAATTAAAAATGTTGAAGCAATTTCTGAAGAGTTGGAATCAGGATGTCTTCGGGGATCTAGAAACTTAGTTTCAACACGCAGTGAGCACTGTAGCAAAACTTGATATGAAGAACGAAGAGGTGGCATTAGAAGAGGAAGAATTGGAGGAACGACGGCAAGGTTTTCAAGCACTATGGGATATTATGAGGAAGAGGGAATCCATTTGGAAGCAAAAATCAAGAAGCAATTGGGCAAAATGGGGGGATGCAAATTCGAGATACTTCCACAAAATTGTAAATGAGAGAAAGGCTCATAACAACATTGTTGGCATTTCGTGTGATGGCAGGTGGATTGAAGAGCCAGAGGTGATAAAGAGAGAGGTGGTTGGGTATTTTCGAAGGGCATTTGCCAATGACTCACGAAATCGCCCAAAGCCCACTGGAATTGGGTTTAAAAGGATCTTTGAAGAGATGACAGCATGGTTAGAAAGACCATTCTCGATGGAAGAGATTGAGGAAGGGTTAAAGAGTTGTGAGGGAACAAAAGCACCGGGGTCGGATGGATACAATTTTAGTTTTATCAAGTATGCTTGGGAATGTATGAAGGAGGACTTTGTGAGATTTTTTGAAGAGTTTCACCAGAATGGCAGGTTAGTAAAAGGGTTAAACTCTTCCTTCTTAACGTTAATTCCTAAGAAGATGAACCCCATGGAACTAAAAGATTTTAGACCTATTAGCTTAGTTGGTTGTGTATATAAGTTACTAGCAAAAGTGTTGGCTAATAGGCTGCGGGTGGTAATGTCGGAGAGCATTAGTGATACTCAATCTGCTTTTTTGGGAGGCCGTCAACTTGTTGACAGCGTGCTAGTCTTAAATGAGGTGGTGGATGAGGTTAAGCAGCGTACGCAGCAAGCTTTTATCTTCAAAGCTGATTTCGAAAAGGCGTACGACTGTGTAGATTGGTCCTATTTAGATTGGATGATGAGCAGATTTGGTTTTGGCGGGAAGTGGCGAGGGTGGATTCGAGAATGCTTTTCAACTGCTCGAGTCTCAGTTTTAGTTAATGGAAGCCCAACAGAGGAGTTTGCGATGGGAAAAGGATTACGACAGGGGGATCCTTTATCTCCGTTCCTTTTTCTCATGGTGGCTGAGGGTTTACATGGACTAGTCAAAAAAGCAGAAGAGGAAGGATTGCTACAAGGCATCACGGTGGGTAACAATGGCTTAGCTATTTCTTTGCTTCAATTCGCGGATGATATAGTGATTTTGGGGAAAGCTAATAGTGAGAGTATTTTTATGGTTAAAACCATTTTGAGATGGTGTGAGTTGATGTCTGGGTTGCGGATAAATTTTGGTAAAAGTAGTGTCTTTGGTTTTAATGTGTCTCATTGGTGGATTAAAGGGGCAGCAAGTGCTCTCCATTGTGGTGTTGGGGAAACACCCTTTATGTATCTGGGTATGCCGGTTGGTGGGAAGAGTGGGAGCAAGAAGATGTGGGATCTAGTTCTGAATAAATTTCAAGCCAAGTTAGTTGTCTGGAAGTCTGCTGTGCTGTCTGTTGGTGGTTGCATCACTTTACTTAACTCGGTACTCTCTTCAACTCCCATTTTTTACATGTCTTTGTTTTTAATGCCAAATTGGGTAGTAAAAAGGTTAATTAGTATTCAAAGGGCTTTTTTGTGGGGAGGGATGGAATTAAAGAGGAAGATTTCATGGGTTAAGTGGGATTATGTGTGTACTAGCAAGAAGAAAGAAGGTCTAGGAGTGCCAGATTTGTGTTGAAAAAATTGGGCATGGTTAGGGAAGTGGTGGTTTAGATTAGGGGATGGAGCGGAGGGCTTGTGGAAACAGGTGGTGTGGGAGAGGTATTATGGTGGAAGGGAGGAAGTGGATATTACAGCAGTGGATACAGTTAGGGTGTCTAGGCTGTGGAGGGATGTTATGAGTATAGGGTTGCGATCTGATGGTTTAAAGAATATGCTGGTGAAGGGTTTTAGATGGGGGGTGGGAGATGGAAGTAGGGTGGATTTTTGGAAAGCGGTTTGGGTGGGGGAGAAGACTTTGAGGGATTTGTGTCCTAGGCTGTTTCAATTGGCGATACATAAGGATGGTTTAGTTAGTGAGATGGGGGTTTGGGAGGAAGGTAGTTGGAGATGGAAGATTGATTGGAGAAGAGGGAGACGAGGAAGAGAGAAGGATGAGGAGGTGTTAAGGATTGTTGGCAGTGGGTGCATGTTCTTGATGGCAAGTTTATGGTGAGACATGCATATGAGTTTTTGGAATCTACAAATTACATTCTTAATGACCAATTATGTAAGTTAATTTGGTGTCGGTTAGTGCCTTCAAAAGTTAGTTTTTTTGGGTGGAGATTATGTCTTGAGCGTCTTCCCACTAAGTCTAGCTTACAAAAAAGAGGTGTGGATCTGGATGCAGGTTTAAGGTGTGGGTTGTGTGATGAGGAAGTGGAAGAGTGTAATCATGTATTTTGTACATGTACGGAAGCTTGGTTTATTTGGACTAAGGTGCTGTATTGGTGGGGTATGGAGGCTGTAGTGCCGAATAGAGTGGGGGGATTAATGGATTTGTTTGCATATGGGCTGGGTAGGGTGATAGGGAAGGAATTGGGAGCTTGCATTTTTCTTGTTACTGCATGGTATATATGGTTTTGGAGGAATTGTAGAGTTTTTAAGGGAAATGGAGCATCAAGGGATGAGTTATTGGAAATGATTCAGGCCAAGATTTTTTTCTAGGTAAAAAATAAAGTGCAGGGATGTGTTGTCTCATTTGGGGACTGGAAGCTCAACCCGTTGGAAATTGCTGCAGAAATAAGAAATAATAGAAGGCTGCTGCGGGAGTTCCATTTGAACCAAAAGGGGAGGGTATAATGGGGCTGCTGGGTGGGTCATTGTCCAGCACAAGTATGTGGCCATGGTACTAGATGTTGGCCTAGTTTTGTAAGTCTCAATTCTACATATTGTAGCCTAATTTGTGTATATGGGTTAGAGTACCCCTTGAACTCTGCATTAATATCATTCTATTCATTTTGTTGATAAAAAAAAAATTATCTAAATAAAAGCTTATATGTAGCATTAGAGATACGAAAAAATAATTGAACTGTATGTATTAACTGTTTATATTAAGTTTTTGTCTTTATTACAACTCCTATGGTAAATAATTACATTGTAAAAATGTAATTATAAAAATGAGATGTGGTAAAAAATTATTCCTATGGTATAGCCAAACACTTTCAATTTTATATTTAAATTAACAAGAATTCTTCAAATTCTCTGTTCTTATCTTGGTTTTTCAATTGCTTAGGCTTATTTGTTTTTTTTTTTTTTTTTTTTTT